TTTTTCCAAGTTTTGCAATACCGTTTGTCAGTGTATTAACTCATGGATTAGCAGAAATTGTTACCAATGTTAGAACAGTGCCAGCAAGGGGATATTGTAGGTTATTGTTTTCGGTATGGATCTGTTTAATATTGATCACGGTACACAGACTCTGTCGATGTAAACGTTACACTAATTAGTGTATGAGAGTCGATAGTCTACTAACTATTAAACATATCAATAACGTTTGACGCTGTACATAGAAAATTAGTACTAGGTGGATCGAACACGACTCGCTTGTATTCCGCCGCAGGCGTTAATAATATATTTTTGAATCTGTTTATGTAACTTCGGAATAGAACGACCCAATAAACCTGCGACCTTTCTGAGCAAGTAAAGTGAATTCTAACAATCGAATTAACATACACATCGTGTCCTTACCAAATATATTTACCGGTCAGGATTGACGGATATTGATGGATCAATATTAACCAAATCTACGGATATTGTGTGCCCGCGCTTTCATCGTTATCAGTTCTGTAATTAGAAATTACAGTATAGTAGTAAAAGACTACATTTTGAAAAAACAAATACTATTAGAGTGTACACAGGAAGAGCGTAGCGATTTTTGTAGCACGAAAGCTTGCACCGTTTTCAAGATGGTGTGATATGTACAATTTTACTATTTGCATACCGAGAAACTATCGTGTAACATTAAACAATATCTCCTCAAATGAACGATAAAGAATTTTTATAGCAGCACATATTTTTATTATCTTTTTTTCTGATACTCCTACCAATACATGCCAATATAAACAAAGTAAAAAAGACAAAGTAAAAAACACATTTTATACAAAAACATATCTTTTACAAAGTAAAAAATACGTAATGCTATTTAAAAAAAAAAGTCAACGCGATCCGAGCTTTTCATCGAATAAAAGAATTTATCGAAACTTGTATCATTGCACTTTGTTCTTCTCAAAGTTCTTATTAACTTTTGTTTGCAAACATTTTTTTTATCAGATTAGCGTAAATACCTAAAAAATCGATGTGACCGTTTAGGATGAACATCCTGTACATATTTTATTATAATATACCGAAAGTTGAATTGGAATAAAAATCACTGCGCTGCTGTGACATTTTATAAGAATTAATAAATTAAAGATTTTGCGTTTTTATATTTATGTACCTTTACAGAATTACTTCACAGTATTAATAATTTAATGTCGGCGACATCGGAGTGCAGAGGGTTAAATATAATTGCAAAAGGTCGAGAAGATTCGGAAAAGAAATTTGCTTCTGACAGTACGAAGAATCTGCTACGAAAGCCTCGACGAGTTTCTCGATGGTGACGCAGAGTCGATCCACTGGCCGCAGCCCTGAAATCGCTATCACCGTCGGATCGTTATCATCCCAAACGTTTCTAGTAATCGGGATGCCGGAGTCGAGCCTGCCAGGTCCTAACCCCCGATCTCTATCCTGTAATCGCCCAGCCGGATCGCCTCCTTTTTTCTCAGCGGCAGCCTTTTATGCTAAACGGCCGCTTCATTTGAATGTCGCTAATGCGAAAAACCGATGCATACTAATGGGCCCGGTATTTTCTCCTCTCTTTCTCGTCTCAGCCGCCGACGCGTGCTCGCCGTCACGGAACACCGAAATCACCCGTGTCGGTGTCCGTCCACAGTCTACACCCCCGCGTGCACACTCCGCGAGGGTGGACGCGTGTTTGCACAGCGGCCGGCCATTTCCGTGTCGCGGTGTGGCGGCGGCGGCGGCCCTTTATGTCGCATGCATACATTAAGCCGTCACGGTATCCACGGTGTCCGCAGCGCTACGGAAAAAGCTGCGGCGAATCGAAGATTTTCCGCTTGGAAAACTTCGGCCCGTCTAGCGCCGGTTGTCTGCTGCGACAAACTCACCGTCTCCGACTCGCAATTTCCGCTCAGAGCGCTCTTCTTTCCGCGTATCTTGTTTTCCTCGCTTTCGACGCTTGACATTTTCTCTATTTTCTGTCACGCGCGCGCGAATTCACCTCGTGTCGTTCCGCGTCTCGCAGTACATATCTCTTTCTCATCGGTTTATCAGTGTTCGTACCAACCTTGGCAGGAAACGTCCGATCGAGTTTGCGAATGCGGTTGTCGGACGCGTAATTTCAGCGCGTAATTCAAGAATGATGCACAATATTGTGTACCGTATTGAGTCAGGTTGAGTCGAAAGACTTTTTCACGAACTACGTGTGTGTTATGTTGTCTTCCCTTCCGATTTGACCACGTTGTAGCATCCTTGTGAATACAATTTTATTCGACGAATTTATTCGAAATATTATTCGAATAGAATTCTATTCGACGAATTTATTCGATATATTATTCGAATCAAATTTTGTTCGATGAACTTAGTCGTTATGTTATTCGGATAATATTATATTCGAAGAATTTATTCGAAATGGTATTCAGATAAAATTATATTCGGAGAATCCATTGGTAATATTTCTCGAATCAAATATTATATATATATATATATATATATTCAAAGAATTTATTCAAAACGGTATTCGGATGAAATTATATTTCTTTAAATTTATTTAATTATATTATATTATATTATACGAATATTATTATATTATATTATATTATACGAATTAAATTTTGTTCGAATAATTTGATTCAAAGTATTTCTCAAATAAAATTTTATTCGTAATATTACCTGGATGAAATTTTGTTCGAAGAATTTATTCGATATATTATCCGAATCAAATTTTACCGTTTTCTCACTTTGTTTATCTGAGCGTATAATGAAAATATATATAGGCTCTGATAAACAAAGTGAAAAACACGTCATTTTAAACGTTTCTTTTACTCCAAGTAATAACTAATCCCTCTAATATTCACAAAAAAGAAACTCAAGTCATTTATTTACACCAGCTTGGAAAAAGTTATTCTGTTTTAAAAGGTGTGTGGACACTTTTTCGCCTAACTGTAAGTCAAAATGTTCGAAAATGTCACTTACGTCACTACGATTCTAACTCAATCGTATGGAGTTTGGCTGGAGCTTCGACTCTTGTGAAAATCCTAACGAAAGAATACCTAAGATTATAACGTTTCTAAGCGTAATTCAAGGATAGGACTCGTAGAGGTTTGCTAGTAATTGCTTCGGATCTCAAATCAAATATTTAAGCGACGCGGCGCAGCGGTTTAGCCGTGTTTTCGCGCGATTTCGCCGACGATGTAATCAGGAATTAACAGATCGCCGCAAAAGCATTCCCCGAGGCATGCCGGAGCAGTTCATTAATTGCGGGTATCTATTTGTCGAGGTAGTCGAAATTACTGAAATCCGAGACTCGCCGATACGATACGTTCTACGTTCGATTGCCGAGCGTGCTGGCAAATAACGCGAGTCTTCTCTTCCCCTACTTCGTAAACAGCTGGCCGCAACCGTGCGGGCTAAGGTACACTTTGCACAGACCAGTGCCTCTAAAATTTTCTTAACGATACTTGAAAATTCTAGAGGAACATGCTGCAGTGGAAATAATTTCCTTTTAACCAGTTAGCTGTGACGTCTCCTTTTTAGAGCGCGCACCTACATGACAAAGTCATCGATGTTTCTTTCTTTTTTTTTTTAACGAGATTACATATTTCTATCATTATATCATGATAGCTAAGATCAAGACGAATCCAATGATCTATAGTAACATAAGTCGAGCAGCGCATTACTCGTCGCGATTCGAACTGTCGCGCCGAAAACGGCGAAATTGCAGAAGTCGGTGGAAAGAATTTTGGACGTTCATTCGAATAAATTTCTCATCTCTCTGTTGATCTCTCTGTTGTACCTGTTTCAACATTCGTGTTCATTTCTAAATGTTTTAAGTTTAATTTATCCGTTAATGGCTGTTCTAATATATTTTCGGCAACGGTTACATTTCTTATACACGAAGTGTCGATAATAACATTTTTCGATGAAACGGGAATCGATGTAAACATTTGTCGGTGATTTCAACGTGTCGGCATAGAAACAATGTCGGTGAAATGCGATGTCGCTGAAATCATCGTGTCGACGAAAATATTGTCGGTGAAACCACTGTTGGTGATTTCAAGGTAACCCGGCGTTAGCCCCCGCGATCCGAATGTTGCGTGCCGATAATTCCGAGCTCTGGTTTAAAGCTTNCTGAAATCCGAGACTCGCCGATACGATACGTTCTACGTTCGATTGCCGAGCGTGCTGGCAAATAACGCGAGTCTTCTCTTCCCCTACTTCGTAAACAGCTGGCCGCAACCGTGCGGGCTAAGGTACACTTTGCACAGACCAGTGCCTCTAAAATTTTCTTAACGATACTTGAAAATTCTAGAGGAACATGCTGCAGTGGAAATAATTTCCTTTTAACCAGTTAGCTGTGACGTCTCCTTTTTAGAGCGCGCACCTACATGACAAAGTCATCGATGTTTCTTTCTTTTTTTTTTTAACGAGATTACATATTTCTATCATTATATCATGATAGCTAAGATCAAGACGAATCCAATGATCTATAGTAACATAAGTCGAGCAGCGCATTACTCGTCGCGATTCGAACTGTCGCGCCGAAAACGGCGAAATTGCAGAAGTCGGTGGAAAGAATTTTGGACGTTCATTCGAATAAATTTCTCATCTCTCTGTTGATCTCTCTGTTGTACCTGTTTCAACATTCGTGTTCATTTCTAAATGTTTTAAGTTTAATTTATCCGTTAATGGCTGTTCTAATATATTTTCGGCAACGGTTACATTTCTTATACACGAAGTGTCGATAATAACATTTTTCGATGAAACGGGAATCGATGTAAACATTTGTCGGTGATTTCAACGTGTCGGCATAGAAACAATGTCGGTGAAATGCGATGTCGCTGAAATCATCGTGTCGACGAAAATATTGTCGGTGAAACCACTGTTGGTGATTTCAAGGTAACCCGGCGTTAGCCCCCGCGATCCGAATGTTGCGTGCCGATAATTCCGAGCTCTGGTTTAAAGCTTGCGTAAAAACAAAGGACACTTACTGTACAGGTGGATGGTGCCGTCGGTTCCTCCGCGTGAATTGTTCGCATTGCACTTGTAGCTGCCGTAATCCGAATCCTGGAAAGTAGAATATGAATTATGTGAAAAATATAAAAGATCGGAAAACATCGAAGAACTTGTGCTACTTTGAACCAACAGTTCCCCAGATAAACCGTCATAGCTTCGTGTGAATTTGCTATTTCTCATCTAAAATATTATTGTATTCTTTAGCACTAGAACTACCAACCCAGTCAAAATAACTAGTTTCTGATTTCTTGTTTTAGAGCTACTGGATTTATAAAAATATTTCTTTGAGAAACTTTTTGCTAATTATATTCCCATATAATCAATCAAAATTATATATATATTACATATATATAATTTATATTATATTTATTATATTGTATATAATTATTTTTTATTTAATTATATTTTATTATATTATATAAATTATTATATAATTTATATTATATTTATATATATATATTATAATATATATAATTATATATATAATATTATATATATATATAAAATTATAATCAAATTACGATGAATAAATTCATACCACCGTACTACCGTTATCCCAAATTTTGAACAAATCCAATTAATCCTTAATGGTTTTCTACCTTGCAATCGTTTCCAACAAATGCTTTTCCGTGGAATATTTGTATGTCCAAACGCAAACTTGCATTCGACAACTTTCGAGATCGTTGTGACCGAAATCTTTCGCGAGTCTATCATATCCTAATTACAATGTCGGCAGAAGTTGAAGATATTTCTGCTGGTGTTGCCGTTTATCATTTCCGTTGTTAACTCGCGAAGCTCCGGCATCGGTTTCCTAAGAGTGTAACACCGAATCCATCTGCACGCGGTTCGTCTGGCTACTCAGCAATTTGTCTTTCGTTTACTTTTCTTGTCTTTTCTCCGCGGCTCAAACTTGCAGGATAGTTTTGTTGATAACTTCTGTTGCGGGTCGACTCGCCGTTTGATTTATAAAGAAGACCCGCGGTCTCGAGCGAAAGTAACTTCTATCTTGACTCGTTTGTACTTCTGAAATTTTTCCCCAGACGCATTTATTATCCTTTGTAAAAGCAACGCAATAAAGATCCCCGGGACACAGTGGAAGCAGAAACTCGGACAGTATACAGGGTGGCCCACACAAACGTTTCAGGTAATGACGCCGTTATTAATGCATCTGCGAAAAAATGTTTAAGGAGAAATATAAATGACTCGAAGGGCACTACATTTGTAGTCGCTTAGATGTTTTTTCAGTGAATCAGTACATGTGCAATTAACAATTGCATCATTTCTTTAAATGGAAATGCTTATTTTTTATTGCGCGGATCAATTCCTCTGTTCATTCTACGTAAAAACTATTGGAAAATATCATAGTAAAATAATTATTAGTTCTTAAGATATTTTCAAAAAATTACCGAAGGAGCTACTCGAACGCTTCCCCATTACATTGCAAACATTTCTGATAACGTTCATTATTCATTCTCAAAACTGCGTTTAAATCTTTAGCAATACAGGATTTTTCAGCAATAAGTACGGAAAATTTAAATGCAAAATTTAAATGTAAAAGCGTTCGAGCATCTTCACCAGTAAATACATTTTTTGAAAATATCTCGAGAGCTAATAATTCTTTTTCTCCGATACCTTAACAATTTTTTACGTAGAATAAACAGAGGAATCGATCTGTGCAATCTAAAATATGCATTTCCATTGAAAGAAATGATGCAATTGTTGATTGCACATGCACTGATGCACTTGAAAAAGATTTAAGAGCCTATAAATGTAGCGCTTTCAGAGCCATTTATCTTCCTCCTTTGACATTTTTTTCATAAATGCATTAATAACGGCGTTATTAGCTGAAACAATTGCGTGAGTCAACCTGTACGGTGTACAGTGTATACTATATAAAATATACAGTATCTCGCTGTCTATCGAGAGATACCGGAAACTGGTTGTTCCGCGAGGGAAATCGGCAGTTTTAAGACTATCCGTTTCCATACGTGAAAATAATCCGCGAATAAATCTCACGAGATGTCACGAAACTTTTCGAATATCACCTGTTGGCTTCGCAGGTGTTGATGCCGGATAAAGTTGAGGTTAGGGGCGTGTTCCTCCACTCGATTCGGGATCGGGACACCGACCGGGACCCTCGGCTACGAGATTATTACACGCTCCGAAAAATCTTCGAATTCAACAGCCACTTTTCTTTCCGGGAAAACACGTTAGCGAGAACTTACGACCTCGCCGCGAATGCTCTTTCGGATGGCACATCGAGTGCTCTTGTGTTTTAATTTCGATCCTTGTCCCTTTCTGTCAACTTGCCACCCTCTTCACTGTTGTTTCTCTCTCGAAGCAAGCGGGCAAATAGAAATTTAGGGAAACTTGGTGGAAGATACATCTAACACTGGAACTACCGAGCCCTAAACTCGATTTATTCCAAGACTGGATTTATTCCAACTTCGTATGATTGTTATTTTAATATATAGATACTTCAATAAAGAAGTGTACCTAAAAATTTCTCCTAGAAATATTTGTATAAAAACAGGAACTGTGAAAGAAAATATCAGAAACCAGTCATTTTGACTGGCTATTGTTAAATATTATTCTTCTTTCGTTGATGCTCTATGCAAAGATAATTTACTTAAAACTGTGTGTACTAAATGCTTTTTATTAAAACTGTCCACGTTTTAATAAAAAAAAACCTAACCACGCAAGTAAAACCCAATTAAGCAAAGCATTCTTTGATATAAGAATACCAAAACGAGTTTTTATATTATAGTTTAACATCTTCTCGATATATATAATTTCAAATCATCATATTTCAAATTAACCCGAAAGTAATTTAAAAACTTTCCATTCACACGAGGTTGCTCGTAATCTCGGAAGTTTTCGCGTTGTTTGAAATTGTATAATACAAATTTGCGTAAACAGAACGCAAAGTCGATAAACTCATGTAGCGTTAAAAAGTGAATCTGCGAGTGTTTTAGGATTCGTTAATCTATCTTTCATCAGATTGCTTCTTTTGTATCACTTTACATCGAGGAAATGTCAGGAACGATTGAAAGTAAATAAAAAGTCACCGTTGCCTGGTAGAAGATCCATTTAGTTCCAGTTAGAAGCATCTTTATAGTCGCCAGCGTTTGCCCCGACAATATCGATGGATTCTAATTTCTGATCAATATTTGCAAGCTGCGGGTACGAGGTTACATGCTTTTAAAGCGCGCCACTCGCTGTTTTAATACAATTTTATAACCCGATGGATCGTTAAAGCGCATCCGCGTTTCAAAGCAGAGTCTTCTTCAAAGAATGTTGAAAAAATAGTTGACGTCGTGTAGCTTAACTTTTCAATTTTACTTTGATTAAATAAAATACTTGGCATGGCAGTCAAAGTGTTAAGTCATACAAAATGGAAATACCGTGAGCCAGAAAAACCATTTCGAATACATGGCTAAAACGGCTTCGAGTGCAAAGGGTTAACATTTTCTACCAAGTTCTCAATTCTCACTAAAATAGTGTCTTACAGGTTAACGAGCGTATTATTAGCGACTTAACGTTGGCTTACGTTTAGGTTGTTTATGGTTAAGATCATGTGGGTCTTGTAGAAGGGTTTCTCCGGCGTGGTGGTGACACTGTATTTGGCCGCGTTCTGAATCATTACCCCGTCCTCCCTGGTCCAGTAATTCAAAGAAATTGGATGAGCCTCGGTGAAGCATTCCAGCGTGACTGCGTAGCCCAAGGGCGCGCCGACCAATTGGTGCGGGATCCACAGCATGGGGATAACTGCAACGAGAAAAGTGATTGATTGGCTCATAAATGTTCCAATTACTAGCGATACAAGCCGGACCCCGGGATCGATAACCGTTCCCCGCCGATAAATCTCGGCCCGCCGAAACACGCGTCTCTGTACCTCGCGGCTCCGAGCTCTCTTCTCGAGCTAGACAAAACGCTCGCACGTATCATGCAAACAATTTTCTTGGCTCCACCGGACATCGTACTGTCCGGTCATTTGCCTCATTCATCCGATAACCAACGCTTCGAGTCAGCCGACAATTTCGTCGAATCAAAGTTTTATAATAATAATGCTAAACATTCATTTGTATATACAACGCGACTCCCATTAATATTCGGACACCTTTTTTAAAACGCAATAACTTTTTTAGAACTGGCCTAAACGACTTGAATTTCTTTCATTTGATAGAAGTACCATAATTGGAATGCTTCTTTTAAATTTTACTATTACATAGAATGACAAAAGAGAATAAAAAAGAAACTCTCATTTCTTAACTTTTTTATTCAAGCTTATAACGAAAATTTAAGAAATGCGTCTCGTAGATCTCGGTGATTTGATAATAATGCATAACATATGCATGTTGAAAATTTCATCGAAATCGATTGACCTTGGTATGAGCTGTTAACAATTAAAGAGATGCTTTAGTGTTTTCTTCAGAACGAACAGTACGATGACGTTGCTTCCTAACTTCATCTGCGAGTGGACTTTCTTCAAATTTCTTAATTATTCTTTGGATTTGCATGTTTGACGGACAGTTTTCTCTTCCATATTCTGCACGAGGTTCTCTTCCAACTTCTGCATAACTGTCACCAAAATTTCTACTAATTTTTAATAATGAAAACGTTTCTACTTGTCAAATGTAAAATTATACATGCTAATTCGGTACAACAAATTTAAATGGCGAGAAATTTCGAAGGAACATTAAGAAATGCAGGCAAAACGACTGGACGGCACGGGTTCGTCGAGAAAATCCATCCGATGTCATTCCCCGCTCCGACAAGGTTCGTAAAGGATTACGAAAAATTGCACCATCCGCGAGAATCAGAATGCCGGTCTCCTGAACAATAAAATTTACGATAATCTAGTCGCGTATCCATCGGCCTGTTTAGTCGAACATTGAAACCAGGTCGCGGCTCCGGACGGCTGAGAATTTTGAACGGCCCCCACACGATATGCCCATCATTTCCGAGACATTAAATCTCGGANTCATGCAAACAATTTTCTTGGCTCCACCGGACATCGTACTGTCCGGTCATTTGCCTCATTCATCCGATAACCAACGCTTCGAGTCAGCCGACAATTTCGTCGAATCAAAGTTTTATAATAATAATGCTAAACATTCATTTGTATATACAACGCGACTCCCATTAATATTCGGACACCTTTTTTAAAACGCAATAACTTTTTTAGAACTGGCCTAAACGACTTGAATTTCTTTCATTTGATAGAAGTACCATAATTGGAATGCTTCTTTTAAATTTTACTATTACATAGAATGACAAAAGAGAATAAAAAAGAAACTCTCATTTCTTAACTTTTTTATTCAAGCTTATAACGAAAATTTAAGAAATGCGTCTCGTAGATCTCGGTGATTTGATAATAATGCATAACATATGCATGTTGAAAATTTCATCGAAATCGATTGACCTTGGTATGAGCTGTTAACAATTAAAGAGATGCTTTAGTGTTTTCTTCAGAACGAACAGTACGATGACGTTGCTTCCTAACTTCATCTGCGAGTGGACTTTCTTCAAATTTCTTAATTATTCTTTGGATTTGCATGTTTGACGGACAGTTTTCTCTTCCATATTCTGCACGAGGTTCTCTTCCAACTTCTGCATAACTGTCACCAAAATTTCTACTAATTTTTAATAATGAAAACGTTTCTACTTGTCAAATGTAAAATTATACATGCTAATTCGGTACAACAAATTTAAATGGCGAGAAATTTCGAAGGAACATTAAGAAATGCAGGCAAAACGACTGGACGGCACGGGTTCGTCGAGAAAATCCATCCGATGTCATTCCCCGCTCCGACAAGGTTCGTAAAGGATTACGAAAAATTGCACCATCCGCGAGAATCAGAATGCCGGTCTCCTGAACAATAAAATTTACGATAATCTAGTCGCGTATCCATCGGCCTGTTTAGTCGAACATTGAAACCAGGTCGCGGCTCCGGACGGCTGAGAATTTTGAACGGCCCCCACACGATATGCCCATCATTTCCGAGACATTAAATCTCGGAAGATAAATTGCGTAGACTTAACTATGCCGGGCGTAGAGTGGCTCCAATAAAAAAGTCATTTCGCCGCGACGAATGGTTTTCCATGAGCGTCTCTCCCTGGCCCCTGATAATGCCTCCACGGGCTCGGGAGTGCTTCAATTTAACTTGAACCTCGTAACAATACACCTAGCGTCTTCGAACTTTCACGGGGAACTTCCGGCCATATTTTTTCAGGCGGTCCAGGTGCGGGGAGGCAGGGGTAAAAAAGAAAGGGAGAAAGAGAGAAAGAGAGAGAGAGAGCCGATTTAACCATCGCCCCGCTCTCGGGGACATTCGCGACAGGAATGGCAATGAAACCGGTGCCGTCTCGGAGCCTAAGCAACGCGTGAACAGCACCAGGAAGAATGGTCACGCATCGGGAAGATCTGAACGCGAGCGGACTCCATCATGCTATCGAGGGAAAGATGAGAGTGCGGAACGCTTAAGCGGATTTTCAATTTCCACGGAATTGCTTAGCAAAGTTTTAATTGCATCTATGATGGAAGTTCGTGGAGCTTTTAAAGAAATCACCGCGGCCCTCTGTCCTCGATCTTAATATGAATTTAAGAGCATCATCTTCGAAACTGCAACGAGGTGTCTTCCCACCGCGAGCCTTTCTACCTTTGCGGAATGTTCGCAGAATGAGAGGAAATTGTTTTCGTTTCGGCTCGTAGTTTTAGCGCGGCTGTGCGCCGTCTGTTATTATCGCATAGTTTTCATTTTCGATGGTACATCGATCAGGATTTTAGCGAAATTTTGATACCTAATATTTCATCAAATTTCAAGTCCCGTCGAAGTTTGCTAATTTTCCTCTCTATGATCACCACGAAGGAAACTGCTAAATCCTAGCATCAATTTATAACTATCGTCACTTCCTGTTTCGTTACGTAGACCGTTGATGAAAATTCCACAAAATAATTTGCGTAACGTGCATATCGTGTATTGCATATTGCATACTACGTATTGTATATTCCTTAACCGCGTATTGCGTACTGCGTATTGCGTACTGCGTATTGCGTATTGCATATCGCGTATTCCGTATTTCATGTTGCGTATTGTATATTGCATACCGTATATTTGTTTGTATGTACTATATGGCAGTCAAAGGGTGATTCGAACGTTAATAGTCAGTTGTCCAGTATAGTGAAGATATAGCGAGTGTCGTACGGTGAAAATGTCCGTCTCGTTATGTATATCGATTTGCTGTCTCTCCGTATTGTGCTGTTGACATATTATATTAAATTCATTTGCTATAGAAATTCTGCCTCACAATCACCGTCGATTGCTTATTATCCAGAGTTGTTGTCTTGTACTCTTAAAAACAATTTGAATTTTCGATTGAATTGTTGCTGCATCGACGCTTGGAACTTTCAACGAAATAAGCTGAATTGGAACGTGTGCGTGAAAACCGATGGAATCCGTTCATACCGCGCATAACTAGAAATTTCGGCTGTGCTGTATTCACCCCCGGCAGATGTATTATCCTGTTAGATGTTATTTAATTTTGATTCAGCCGCGCCCAGCTTCAAATATTGTGCAAAAAAATCTCTGATTTTTAGGGCGACACTGAACGAAGACAGATGTACAATGGCGTGCAGATACGGTAAAGGGTTTTAAAATTTAAATAAAGATCCTTCGTCGAATGGTTTCAGGAAGCAACTTTCACCCCTCTCATTCCACGGGGAATTATATGGCTCCCTATCTCGCCTTTAACAGCAACTGCGAGCCTGATTTTCTTGATCCTTTAAGGTTCTATGGGCTATGTTTTATTTAAGGATCGCGAGAACTCTTGAAAGCTTATCTTTGATGCTGGTGCATGCACGATAAACTATTTATGCTATTAAATGTGGGTCTCCTCTGTCCCGTATCCTCGAATATCCTGAGTCTAAAGATTTTAATGACACAGCGGGTAAGGTAAATGTCCTAGCAATTCGATAACAATTTACATTTTCATTGATATTGAGCTTTCTACTATTAATTTAGTTATTGTTAAAACTAGATAATATCTTCCAAATGTTTCATTTTAGAAGATTGACTTTCTCAAACGGTGTTTTCAATCGTAGGATATATACATATACTAGAAAATATGTTACAACCAGACTGCGGATTTTTATGCAAAATAAAAATTGTCTGTGTGAATTTTATAAAATGGAAAATAAATAGCAAGTTCTCTCTTTTTTCAGTAATTTTAATAAGTTAAAAATAATAACATCGACATTTTTATATTCTTTACATACATTCTTTTTATATTCTTTACACACATATAATACATTTTATCATTTTTAATCGCAACTACTCAATCCTGGCATAAATACATAAAATCCGCAGTCTAGTTATAATATTATACGAGGTAGTTCAAAAATCGTCCGTTTAATGTATGCCTTTAATAATTCTCCTAAGAAGATCTGCTTATTTCTTAAGCATACAATTTTAATTCGTATTTTACATTTTTGCCTTAAGTGAGATATTGGAAAATACATTGAAAAATTGATATTCGATATATTGAAAAATTAATGTGACTATCAACCAGTATAGCTCAGTCCTCCAGTTTTTGGACAATTTGCCTTTGACCTCTGTATTTTTTATTATTCCAGTTCAAGACGATTTCATGAAATTTATAAATGAAAATCCATAACATTAAGTTTTGATTGCATTTCGTCCAATTATACACCGAATTAGAAACTCGTTAAATATTTAACTTATTAGAATATAACCTCAATTTTTTCG